ATGGATTCCAATTACATGATCAGTACGGACCCTTGTGCTATGTAATACTATCCATTTGCAACAATCTGTACTAATTTTCCAAGATATCATCTTCGCAAAATAATACAAGCTCGGAGATCACAAAATTAGGAAAGACCAATTGCTGCCTTTGTCTTAAAAATTTCTTTAAATTGAAGCAAAAATGTTCTGCCTGAGGAGTTCGCGAGCTTCCAATAGAAGGAAGAAAAGTTAGATATTATCAAAAGATTTTTGTATCTGCATCTTTAGTTGATAAAATTTGTTTAACGTTTTATCAACACGGCATGGAATACAAGTCGCATGTTTGTAGGTAAATAACTGAACTTGTCATGACGCTGTCTCGACTTTTTCAAAAAAAATTTGTTGAAAGACTCTTCCAAAAATTGAATCAAGTCTTTGAAAAGAAAAATATGGTCGAATTGAACTTATTCTTACTTTTCAGAATAGTGAAAAAATAATAATGACTTGAATACTTTTGCAGAGCCTTTGGGCCATGTTCCTTCAAGACTTCCAGGACATAGCTGACGAAGACTTTCTACAAATACTCTTGGTCCTCTTGTCCATATCAGGACCATATTACAGCAGCAATTGAGAAACACAACTTAAAAGCTGAAAAGATATGTTACGCATAGTGCCAAACCATTCTTTCATTTGTCTCCTAATTTCTGGAGAACTTTTCGAAGAATTATGGAGATAAAAGCTTTTGAAATTATAAAAGAGCAATGTGATGCTGAAATTGATTTTCTTAGAAACTTTCATGGATCTACGAAATTTCTTAATCTAGAAATATATACACAATTAATTCAAGATAGCAATTATTTAAAATATTTCTTCAATGGTACTTTAATTTTACATGGAAAGTGTTAGAAATTTAGTTGCTAAAAAGGTTTGTAACTAAGGATTTATTGGCATGATTGAGCAACAAAAGGGTTCATAAGAGAAAAAGTAACCAAAATAGATATTAAAATATAGTGTGCATAACTTATGAAGTAGTAAGATATCTAGTACAAAATCAGTTAGATAACAAATATATAGTAGATTATGTGTAATTTTCTTTCACGGCAAAGGATCCTACTTCTCTTTGCCAATAATCTCTAATCCAAGTAAATGTTATTCATTACCAATTAAATTCAGTTAGAGATATAGAGTAGAATCTGGGTTCAGAAGATCTTGAAAACGACCTATCCTCTTTGGAATAGAAAGACTTTAAGTTTTCTTTCACCTTTTACAAAAATTTAGTCTAAAAAAGAATAGATCTTACTACATTTTTGTCTACATGCAATTCCGTAGAAGATGGGTCAGTCCAACTTCTAATCGACATGGTTATATTTTCTGCAAGACTTGACACATTATAGTGTTTGAATTGGAATGCTTAGCATAGAAAAATATTGTGACAACATGTAATATTCTCTATAATAAAGTGATATATTGAAGAATTATTGGGAAATATGTTGAATTGGTGACCTCCAAAAATTAGCCCCACAAGATGATCTGTGACAGAATTCTAAGTGGGAAAGTGATGTAATTATAATATTACATTCAAATTGATACTGGCCCAACCCAATTGTGGCTTTTAAGCTGTTGAGAAGTAATGTAGGGACGACATCATTGAATTCATTGCTAGAGATGTCCATAAAACTTCGTAAGTTGATTCTTGAAATTGCTAATGGGTCTAAAAACCATTAGCTTTCAGGACTTTAAAGTCTTGGAATATGGAAGACTTTCGAGTTAGCCATGTTGAAAATATGTCACCTTTATATGCGTGTCCGGGATGTTAAGGACTTCCAATTTTCTTCAGGGTTGGCTAATTATCGTGTTAAGCAGCGAATCTTCCAAAAATTGCAATACAAACCAAGACTTCTCAATAAACATTTTGTTGGCTTGTTGTAAGACCATTATTCTTCAAGTTTAGTGCCCAAAATTGAAAACTTAAGTATCCCAAGCATAGTAGAATTGCAATTTGCATGGTCGATTTGTTTTTAGACAAGTCAAGGACTATCAATCCTGCTCAATTGCACATAGAAAGTGGCAATGGACGCTAGGTCTGTGATTAGGTCTGACTTTTACAACAACTAGATTTTTTTCTAATTAGTGAACCGAAAGAAGAAAATTAGGACATTATCAAAATATTTTTGTATCTGCATCTACAGTCAAAAAAATTTGTTTAAATTTGTATTAGCATAGTATGAACTACTAGTTATGTGTTTGCAGGTGAACAACAGGACTTCTCATAGTAATATCTTCACTCTTCGAAAAAATTGAAGTCACGTCTTTGGAAAAAAAATGTGGTCCAAATCAACCTATCCTTACTTTTCTAAATTGTGAAAAAATCACAATGACCTGAATCCTTCTACAGATTCTTTGGGCCATCGTTCTTCCTAGACTTCCTTGACATAATTGACAAAGACTTTCTGGGAACATTCTTGTTCCTATTGTCCATTTTAGAGCAATGGAGAAACACAATTTAAAAGCCGAAAGGACTTTCTACATATTCATATAGTAGCCAAACCGTTCTTTCATTTGTCTCCTAATTTCTGGGAAACTTTTCAAAGATTTATGTAGATAAATGCTTCTAAACTATATGAAAATAGTGCAATGCTCGGATTGAGTGCCATAAAAACTTTTCATGGAACTATGAAATATTTTCTTGTATAGAAATATATGAATGCAATTAATGCAAAGTAGCAATTGTTTGAAATGTTCCTTGAATGGTCCTTTATAATGACATGTAAATGTCTTAGAAAAAGCTGTTAAAAGCTTTGTACATAAAGATTTATTAGCATCATTGTGAAATAAAGGGGTTCACAAGAGAAAAAGGTTAAGTAATGTCGACATCCAAATTAATTATTATAAGTTGACCTTGTGCTTAACTCATGACGCAGTAAGACATTTAATACAAAAAACAACCATATATATAATAGATTATGAATAATTTTCTTTGATAGGAAATAAAAAGGCTTTGTTGTTTAAATTGAAAATGAAGCATCCTACTTTTCCTTCCTAACTATCTCTAATTGGAGTGAATGTATATTACAATGTCTGTCCAAATTACCTTAAAGTGATCACTCCTTTCAAGGATGATTTTGTGTTTAACTTTTTTTTTTTCACCCTTTACAATTAGTTAGCCTGGGGGAAAAAAAGGTTACTCTAGAAACGATATAACTCCCAGGCCCAATATCATTTTCCTCCGAATGGAATAACCACAGGCATTCCAAGGAAGACCCTTGAGTCCAACTTCTACTCCACATTGTTAAAATTCCTGCAAAACTTGGCAAAAGGCGTAACAGACAAAAGTATGATATTCTGAATTAGAATGTGTTAGACAGCATTAATGAAAGGCCCGTGTCCTAAGTCCCAACTGACATTCGTATATTGCTTTGCATAAAAAAACCATTTTCCTTAGAAAATGGTTTCTACAACCGTATAATATGGCAATGTATTTATGCATTTATTCAACATATTATTTTCTACATATTATTCTAACATATGCTGAACTCGCAATCCATTGGAATTCGCCCCGTAGGATGATCTGTGACAGATTTCTAAGAATGCAGCTGAAAGTGATGTAATTAACAATGTAAATTACCCTAAGATATCTCCCTCAATATTAAGGGAATAGGGACAGCGAATCTGATGAAGTTAGTTTTCAACCCCTATACAAAACTCATAAGCGACTGATCATGATTGCTAAACTACATAAACATTGATTCTGATTCATGTTTGCCTAGCCTAATCATAGTTCTGAAACTGCTGAAAAGTTATCGTTTAGATCAAATATATTTAGCGTAAAAGATGGACACCGAATGGGATACAGATAATGAGCTTCTCACAATTTTTTTTTAAAAAAATCTCTTCAAATTCTTAGATTCATGTAAACACACCTAAATTGTCTTGAAGACTATACTTGGATCATGTACAAACAAGCTGACAAGATACTCTTTGAAAATTATGAGGTATTTTTTTTATCATGTATTTTTTTGAAATATTTTAATAAACAGAGTGAGATCTATACCTAACCTTACCACTTTCTAGTGGTTTTTAAGTTTAAAAAAAAAGGTGGACAAGATACATAATCATGTGCACCGATTACCGAAAGCAAAGGATAAAAAAGAATGTAGACTGAGAGCAAACCAATATAAACCATAGCAGATGATCAAATAATGGAAAATAAATAAATCAAGGAATGAAGAGAATTTACAAACCTATATATATATATATATATATATATATATATATATATATATATATATATATATATATATATATATAGGATAACTTGGGTCACAGATACAAGGAGGTATTTGACCCTAAAGTGAGTTGGAATACATGAAGTAACAGGGAATTGGTCCATGGTACCAGCCAAAAAGTAATGTGAAAGGTTCAAGTTGGTCAAAAAATTGCAAGTCTTGGACATGAACCAGCTTGGAATTTTGCTGTGAATCATGTTATTTGAGGGGTACAGAAATACTAAACTCTCTGAATTTCTAAGAAAATCTACAAAGCAAGAAGACAATCCCAAGAGCATGAAATTTGAATAGGAAATGCTTATAATGTTTTTAGTGTTCCACGGTGCTTCATTCTGAAGAGGGTTCTTTTGAAGCTGATTGAAGTCCACAAACAAGTCTTGTCCAACCCCAGTAAAATGATATGATTAAAGGTCAAGGTAAGATAGGATCGGAATAGTAAAAATTGATGGAGGAATTGAACCAGTTAGTTGATTACTTGAGAGATCTAGAGAGCCAAGATGTGTAAGGTTGAAAAGCGAATTTGGAAATTTCCCAAACAATAAATTATGATCAAGTGACAACCTACTTATTTTTTGTAAATTGGAAAAGTTATCTGGAATTTTCCCTCGAAGATAGTTATAATCCAGAGACAATTCAGTAAGTTATGTACGGTTGCCAATGGATTCAGGAATGACACCAAAAATTTGACAAGAACTTAGATCCAAAGCATTTAAGGACCCTATGCACCCAATTAAATTTGGCAATGCAGCAGAGAAATTTATATTGAATAGGTTCAACTGCTTCAGGGAATCAGAAATGCTGCAGTTCAATTTCGGTAAACTAACAGAAAGATTCTCATTGCCACCTAATGAGAGAATTTGGATATTCGGTAGATAAAAAACATGACTTGGTAGAATACCTCTTCTTCTAGTATCCACGAGATCTAGATATGTCAAAGAAGAAGAAAAATTCACCCTTAACTCGGATGAGATGTTCACCAACCAAAGTGACAGCTCTCTTAAATGGGTTAAGTTTTGAAGTATCGCTTCAAAATTGCTAGGTTCATATCTTAGAATCGAGTGACAACCTATAGAATTACACGTGAGAATGGAAGAGAGATCAAGTGAAATCAAGTTGGACAGGTGTGATATTTCTAAAGCAATTTCACCTTCAAAATCTGAACTCTGAGAGATTGAGGTGGGTCAAATTTTTTAGGGACCCAGCTCGATGTGAAATTCATGAACTGATGAAATCGTTAAAAGCAAGGTTGAGGCGGCGGAGATGAAAAATGTGGAAAAGGCTAGTGTTTGGATGGATGGCTCCGTAAAGCAGGCCGCAACCCAGATCCAGCCCAATTACACAACCACAGAGGTTGTGGCATGTGACGCCAGCCCAATTGCAACAATCTGTATCTGCTTTCCAATGTGTTGTCTTTGGATATGGATGCTGACCCATTTCATCACAATCTTGAGAAGCATAAGTTGATATGCTAAACATTTCTTTGAATTGAAACAATGCAACAGCGTCATCGTGACAGCACAAATGATCTCCCAAGAAAGTGAAACTAATCACTTCCCGAGGTTGCAATAGAAAGAAGAAAAGTAAAGCACTAAAAAATGTTATTTGTCTCTTCATTCTTGCTTGATAAATTTAGTGTCAGAATGACGGTTACATAAAGGCATGGAATTTACGTGGAGGAGGTATCATTTGGAAAAGGTTGTAACAAGTTTTTCTTAAATGTTGAGCAAGGTAATAGTGGAAGTATAAAGCTGGAACAGTAAAAGTCCGAAAGTTAAAAGCTTTTTTTCCTTTACTGGTTTGTTGTTTGAACAATTATGGTATGAAAAGGTCAAGTATTTTGTGAAGAAGTTGCATGTATAATAAATACTCCATTCTTTTTCTTTAAAATTGCAAACTTTACATCATCTTCATCTTCATCTTCATTTTTTTTTTTTTGGTTTTTCCCTTAAAAGCAAGTATTTTATACAATATTCTGATGAAATTTGATAAAGAAGTAAATGAAGAGAAGAAAACTAATAAAATTCTACAACATGATGAAACAATGTTATCGTAACTTAATTTTCAACAAAAAACAAAAAATTATTTAATCATTTAGTCTGCATGATCTCTATAATATTTTCTTATATATATATATATATAGAAGAGATATACTCTTATTATGATCACCAGTTCAAACTTCATAGACCTAAAGGATCTTTGCTAATTTGAACACAAGAAGTCAGAGTGAACCTAATATGTATAGGGTTTTCTTTACCTTGACAACTTAATTAAATCAAAATAACTCAAAATTCTAACATATGTCATATTAAAATGCAGCCAATAAAGGTTTTCTCAGCTGTTAAGATTTGAACCATTTGCCTAAACGGAAACTCATATTCAAATACACTCCTAGCAGTTGTTAATGATACACCATATGGAAGAACACCTATAAGTTGCCAAGGGAGTAGCTGATTTACTCTGGCTTAATTTGAATTGTGGTGACCTCCCTTTCTAGCTTTCTCTTGAATTTTCATGTACCAAAACTAAAAGGAAAGAAATAAAATGTAGAGGATAAAAGCGCAAAACATGACGTAAATTAAGATAATTTAGAGTCAAGAAAGAGTTTTCTACTGTTAGATAGGAAAAATTGATTCATTGTTTAGAAATTGTTGATCATTAGCCAAGATTGTAATTTTAAATGTCAGAACTCATAAAACTAGTCAAGTTTTGTCATTTAAAAGAACTATCAAATTAGAAATAAAATCGGCTTTTGATCGTGCAGTTTTGCAAACTCAGGTTCCGGTTAATAAATACCCAATTTGCAAGGGAAAAGCAAAAGAGAAATTTAATTTGTGGAATGGTACATTGGGAAAGACAAAAACTTACTTGGCCAGGAGCTTGACGAGAATGCAAGCTAACAGCACGAATGGATTTCTTCCTAAATTGCTTGGAGTTATCGAGGTCAGCAAAGTACTCCCACCGGCGACCATCGATCTCCTCGCGGCATATCAACCTCAGGCTAGAATTGAGAAACTGCTCCTCGACAAGTCCGAAGGTGGCGACATTTCCATCGGCGGCAGCGGAAATAGGCGGAGGAGGAAGAGCAGGACGAGGCGCGGAGGCGAGGTTGGCGCTGATTCGAAGCGTCTCACGAACGAGGACCCTGGCGTCCTGAGACGACGTCATTGCTGACAAGGTTTTGGAAGTCGAGTTGGACGGATGCTTGAGCTTCATCTCTGCTCTAGAGAGAAAACAAATAAAATAAAATCACAGAATTTGAAAAGGGGAATGGAAAAATGGGAATTGGCGATGGGGATATAATATATATATATATATATATATATATATATATATATATATATATATATATATATATATATACGTATTGGGGGGGGGGGAGCTTTGGAATTGACGAAGGAAATTACAGGCGGCTAGGGGTCGAGGGAGGGAATCATTACATTAACGGAGGTTAAGAGGAAGAGAGAGAAGCTCACTCTCACTTTCTGTCTCTCTCTCTCTCTCTCCTTCTCTATGGACTCTGGCAATGAGAGGGAGAGATGGCGCCACAGAAAGGGGGGGTGGCGGTGGCGGTGGCGACTGGCGAGGGGGCTCTGTGAGATGGAGGGTGAAGATGAGTGGGGTCCAGGCGGGAGTAGTCCAGTTGGGACTGCAATCTAATGACACCAAGAAGCCACAATTTATAGTAAAATAGCCGATGTTTCTGCTAAACTCCACACACACACACAAAGACACATAGGCACACACAGATTGTCATTCGAAGTGAATATTCACTAAGCAACTCTATTAAAAATAAAATTAGCATAATTTGTTCTAGTTTGCTTATATAAAAAGAGCATGTACTGTCAAAAAAGTGTTTTGTATCTTCAAGCAGTAAAATTGTTTAATGTGTAAGATATTACTATAGCACAAATATATTTAGTTTATGTATATGTTTTCTGTTACTTAAAAAGAAAAAAAGCCAGCATACAAGTTGTAATCATTGTGCCATTTCCATATTACTATAGGCACTTTGCACTTTAAATTTATCAAAAGTTTTTAAAGCACCCAATTGTTCGCGCAATTCATAAAAGTGGACTAGACAGCGGCCATGAATTCATTATTTTAAAGAGACTTGGACTAAAAAGTATTACGTAATATATACAGGTAATGAAGTATACGTAAGATCGCTTTCACAAGATACGTGGGGGTGAGCATCATGTAGTAATAAGTCTATGGGCACTTGGACTTGGAATAAATTCTAAGGAAAAAAAATAATGAAAAATGATGATTAACAAATTAGAGCACTTGTTAAACCAAATTAGTTAATAAAATGCCCAATTATCTATTTGCATTCGTACGAAGATTCCCATTTCAAATTCTCTGCACGATCAATATGAAAGCGAAAAAAAAATTGGGTTTTATGTGAGAAATCGTAATACAAAGACACATAAATGATGTTCAAAAAATATTCAACACTTTATTTTCTTAAAGCCACTTGACATAAATGATATTCTAAAAATGATATTTCTTTCTTCTACTTGACATATGATTTCATGCTTTAATTTAATACGAGTAGAGATTTTGGGTTCATAAACAACTGCAGTAAAAAATATGGATTCGGGTTCATTATTATTCAACTTGGTCAGAAAACTTTGCTACCTGTTACCACTTGCAACTTCTAATCATATATAATTAATGTTTCTATTCTCTAATGTCACGTATAAATCTCAAAATTAAAATTGTCAAATGTTCTTCACAATTGTGATGCCATCGCCATCATCAAGTCAGTCAAGAAAATATTCTTCTTTTCTATCTAAACAGTTAAGAATAAATTCTACTCAAGTTTTTTCCAAGAATTTTCATTTCGACAATTGTTCGGTGAAGACTGGACCTATTGATCATGAAAATACTTCAAAGTTACGCATCAAACATTTACCTTGACCTAAGGACGACCTGTGCTAAAACCTCTTATCACTTTTGAGTTTACAGGATAAAAAATGGGAAAGGTCTTTCTATTTTGTGTCCGGATGGTAGACGATAAAAATATAGGGCTAACTATTTTTTGTCAACAAAAGTTTAAATTTTCTATGCAAAAGTATACACAAATTTAGCGTTCAAAATAATAATTTTCTATTATGGGCACAAAATTAAAAAAGCCTTGTAACATAAATGAATATTGTAGATCCGAGCTTGTCAAGTTGAATTGTTGGAGAGTTTTGTCTAGTTATATATATAATTTTTATAACATTTGATGTAAATTAATACAATTTTTGTGTAAACTTGAGTTTGTCAACTCATACAACTATGTTGAAAAAAATCATAATTACGTCAAAGTTATATGAGTTTACACAAACAATTGTAAGAATTAAATCAAACGGCGTGAACTAAAGAAAAATCAATTTGAGAGGCCACTATCTTAATGTTGCATGCTAGGAGTTTGTTTGAATAAAGAATTGTGTACTTTCAAAAAAAAAAAAGAAAAGAAAAAGGCTTGTTTGAGTTTCCAATTATCATTCTAGTTATCAGAATAACTTATTTTCTTTCTTGTCTCAAAAATAATTTCGAACGTGCTTTAGTCTTTACACTATCTTCAAATGTAATAGGACGAGTTTTATGCTTTGCTCAACAACCTTAAATTAATGTATTTTGTCCGCACGAATAAAGACGCATTACATTCATCACCAAGGCTTCCTTTTTTTTTTTTTTTTGAGTTTACGGTGTTACTATAATGGGGAAGACATAAAAGAACAAGTATAGTTGTATATGGAATCCGTGATTTTGCGAAGGGAGTATGCTTATTTATCAATTATTGGGGTATAAAAAGATTGTATTGCTTAAACCATTTGGGTCGGCCTAATTGCTAGGAGATAGCTCTTACAGTTTCCTCGCTGTTACGTTCATGGTTAGATTTAAAATTCAAATTTTGTACTTGACAGTGTTTGCATGTAGATATATTTCTTTGAATTTTGTGCTTAGCAGTATTTGTATGTGGATATTTTTCCTTGATCTTCATCCCAGTATAACTCTTCAACAGTTCCTATGAGGTATCATTAGATAGTTTACTTAAAAGGGGTTAATTTGTTTTAGAAAATTTACATAATATGATTATGTTTTCCAATTTTTCTTCAGGGAGCAAAATGTATAATTAATAAGCAACGTATTTGAAATTTTCCTAACTTTGAGGGAAAAAAACATAAATTTTTCATGATTTTTTCCGGATTTTATTTCGGTAGGTTTTCATTAATCAATTTGTACTTTTTCTTTTTTCATGGAAAGATGATTTTCTCATAATTTATTTACGTCTCAAGTTAAGTGGTTATTCATTGTTCTAAATTTACCTTTTGTAACAATTTTTTTTTTTTGGATTCAATCCTTTAATAAATCAGGTGATTGCCTACGGAGTCTCTTTCTGCGTGATTAAAATGCATACAAATTCCAATAAATTCATTACAATGAAGAGACGTAACTGAAGAGAGCTACTGAGAGAGAGGTAGGAAAGAGGAAGCTCTGTTGAATACTCCGCCAATTTGTAGATTGTAAGCGCCATGTGGCTGCCTTAGGCTCAAGTTGATTGTGCTGGCGTCACTGAACCTCCATGGCCTTCATCCTGTGAAGCTAATGCTATTGAATCTTTTCTCTTTTGATTTCAATTTGAACTGTGTTTTTTATGTAATATTTTGGTATTTTTATTCTTTATTTTAGTTCAAAATGAAAACTTTGAAATGATCTTTGCTACAACCTAAAATAGTTTGGGTCGGGATTATCCTGGTATTCAACCCTTTTTATAAGAGTTCAATTTGAGGGAATTTAACTATACATTATATGCTTATTGTTCTTGAAATTTATTAGAATATTTGCAGAGATCAGGCACAATGAAACTCTTATGTGCCCACATGAGATTGGTTAATTGCCATTTAACCTTGCAAGTCTGGTCTTGTAAAAAACTGATTCATGCAGTTGATAATTGTGCTTGAACCAATGAAGCTTAAGACACGTATTTAGAAAGAAAGAGATCTGCCATTTTTTTTTGAAGTTTAATGACTTTAGGAACATGAGTGCTTCTCATTGTATTAAAAAGTAATTGAGCAAGATATTATTAAGGGTTTTGATCTTTTCCTTTACTCAATTACGGTCTAAAGCATGTTGGAATTTATGGCTAAAAAACTTAAGAGGGCACACGATAATATTTTGGACAGACCAATGGTTAGGAGACCAGCCTCTGGTGGTATTAGGTTCCAAGCACGGAATAAACAAGTATTGAGATATCAAGCGCACAATAATTTAATGAGGAACAAGCCACAAATATGAAAGATAGACGACGCACAATATTTAACGTGGTTCGACTCCACCATTGAGCATACGTCCACAGAGAGAAACTTGTTCTTTATTATGAGAGAAAAGCCCTATACAAGAATACAACTTTACCATCTCTCATCTCCCAAGAACCCTCTCTCACACCCCATGTATAAGGCTACATGATGCCCCTTGTGTGTCCCTTTGTGTAGTATGTCAACCCACCTATTTATAGATAACATTACTGCCAAAAAACCAAATAACAATTGGAAACCAATATTATTTCCTAAACTCATATAGAGTAGGAAATAACATCTAATTCTAGCTAAATAGGGCTTTACTTGACTACTACTTCAAGTAACTAAATCCAATTAGAAAACTAGTTACTTCCATACAAAATAAGAATTCTACCTAAAAGAAATTAAGCCAATTTCCCAACAAATCTCCACCTTGGCGAAAATTTCTTTTAGCAACCATTTACCTTCAACTACCAAATAATATGGTACCAAACTACACACCTGAATCAATACAGTCCTGACACCAAATTGATTCAATCGGCAAATAAACATGTGTAGTTGTTCCAAGTCCAATCTCCTGTTGACTCGTGAAAAGGTACCTCAATTTACCATCTCCCTTTGCAGGATTTCTTCTCACCACCACTTGCAATCCGAAATCCCCTTTGTGAGTTCTAATCCTAACCATTGAGGCAATCAAGTGGTAAAATCATCATATTTCTTCCCATCCTCAGAACTGTCTCGCCACGTGTGGTTTCCAAGACTCCATCTAAAACGAAAAACTCGTAACTGTCAGAGTTTTTTGGTGCATGGAAATTAGATTTCTTTGTTTCTTTGGGACACGTGCCACACCACCCAAAGAACATAACCAAAATCTAAAATCCACCGGGATGAAGTATCAACCGTTGGAGTTGTGAGAAAGTCTCCACCGATTCATGTCCAAAATCAATATTGGACTCCACCTTTTCCTTGACTTTTGAATCACCTGCCTAGATTCACCGTCAAGCATCTCCATGCTTTTTGACTTCCCATCCTTCACCATCAATGCTTTTTGCCAAGCCATTGAAACAAGGATACCACTCATTAAAATGTTCAATTAGTAATAGCTACCAATCCACTTAATCTCAATAGTTAACTAGGATCCAACTACAAACCTTGAACAGCTCAGTCTCGCAACTAGGCTCTGATACCACTTGTTAGGATCCAAACGCGGAATAAACAACTATTGAGATATCAAGCGCACAACAATTTAATGAGGAACAAGTCTCAAGTATGAAAGATAGACGACACACAATATTTAACGTGGTTCGACTCCACCATTGAGCCTATGTCCATGGAGAGAAACCTGTTCTT